AGGTAGGTTCGGTTCATTTTGTATTCGTTGACTTTCATTCATTTGCCGCTCTTGCTCGCGGCAAATGTTTGCGCCATAATGGTTGAACAAGTCTTTAGTCGCTCCTAATGACTTGTTTATTATACACGCCTGCATTTCCTCTCTCCCTTGCTTCTTTCGCTCAAGTCACGTACATAGAAAATTATTATTTACAAACGTATTTAGTCTATATTAAAGTTGGAGTGTGCGTGTGTACATCCATGTCCATATATGTGTGTGCGTTGTGTCTGTGCGAGTCCGTGTGTGTGTGTACGTCAATGTGTGTGCGAGTCAATATGTATGTGTGACAGTCGCTGTGTTTGTTTGTGTGCATCCATTTGTGTGTGTGTTTAAGTCGATGTATGTGTGTCAGTCTGTGTGTGTGCGTGTGTGTAAGTCCATGTGTGTGTTTAAGTCGATGAATGTGTGTCAGTCTGTGTGTGTAAGTCCATATGTGTATGCGTAGTTGCATGTGCGTGTGAGTCTATGTATGTGTGTGTGTAAGTCGATGTGTTTGTGTGTGTTAGTCGATGTGTGTGTGTGGGTCCATGTGTATCAGTCCATGTGTGTGTGTGTACGTCTAAATGTGTTTTTGCTTGAGTCTTTGTGCGTTTGTAAGTCGACATGTGTGTGTGTAAGTCGATGTGTTTGTGTGTGGGTCGATGTGTCAGTCTGTGTGTATGTGTACATCGGTTTGTGTGAGCCATGGTTGTGTGTGTTAGTCGATATGCGTGTTTGTGTAGGTCCGTGTGTATGTGTGAGTCGCTGTGTGTCTGCACGTCGATAAGTGGGTGTGTAAGTCCATGTGTGATTAGTTGATACAGTGAGGGAAAAAAAAGTATTTGATCCCCTGCTGATTTTGTACGTTTGCCCACTGACAAAGAAATGATCAGTCTATAATTTTAATGGTAGGTTTTTTTGAACAGTGAGAGACAGAATAACAACAACACAATCCAGAAAAACGCATGTCAAAAATGTTCTAATTTGATTTGCATTTCAATGAGGGAAATAAGTATTTGACCCCTCAATCAGAAAGATTTCTGGCTCCCAGGTGTCTTTTATACAGGTAACGAGCTGAGATTAGGAGCGCACTCTTAAAGGGAGTGATCCTAATCTCAGCTTGTTACCGGTATAAAAGACACCTGTCCACAGAAGCAATCAATCAATCAGATTCCAAACTCTCCACCATGGCCAAGACCAAAGAGCTCTCCAAGGATGTCAGGGACAAGATTGTAGACCTACACAAGGCTGGAATGGACTACAAGACCATTGCCAAGCAGCTTGGTAAGAAGGTGACAACAATTGGTGCGATTATTCGCAAATGGAAGAAACACAAAAGAACTGTCAATCTCCCTCGGCCTGGGGCTCCATGCAAGATCTCACCTCGTGGAGTTGCAATGATCATGAGAACGGTGAGGAATCAGCCCAGAACTACACGGAAGGATCTTGTCAATGATCTCAAGGCAGCTGGGACCATAGTCACCAAGAAAACAATTGGTAACACTACACCGTGAAGGACTGAAATCCTGCAGCGCCTGCAAGGTCCCCCTGCTCAAGAAAGCACATATACATGCCCGTCTGAAGTTTGCCAATGAACATCTGAATGATTCAGAGGACAACCGGATGAAAGTGTTGTGGTCAGATGAGACCAAAATGGAGCTCGTTGGCATCAACTCAACTCGCCGTGTTTGGAGGAGGAGGAATGCTGCCTATGACCCCAAGAACACCACCCCCACCGTCAAATATGGAGGTGGAAACATTATGCTTTGGGGTTTTTTTCTGCTAAGGGGACAGGACAACTTCACCGCATCAAAGGAACGATGGATGGGGCCATGTACCGTCAAATCTTGGGTGAGAACCTCCTTCCCTCAGCCAGGTCATTGAAAATGGGTCGTGGATGGGTATTCCAGCATGACAATGACCCAAAACACACGGCCAAGGCAACAAAGGAGTGGCTCAAGAAGAAGCACATTAAGGTCCTGGAGTGGCCTAGCCAGTCTCCAGACCTTAATCCACCAAGTACTAAGTTATGTTTTGCAGAGGGGTCAAATACTTATTTCCCTCATTAAAATGCAAATCAATCTATAACATTTTTGACATGCGTTTTTCTGGATTGTTTTGTTGTTATTCTGTCTCTCACTGTTCAAATAAACCTACCATTAAAATTATAGACTGATCATTTCTTTGTCAGTGGGCAAACGTACAAAATCAGCAGGGGATCAAATACTTTTTCCCCTCACTGTATGTGTCCATATGTTTGTGTGTGTGTAGTTCCATGTGTGTGTGAGTCCATGTGTGTGTAGCACCATAGATGGAACGGTACCTCGTACCGTCAGGGGAGGGGCTGCAGCGCCAGCCCAAGAGGGGAGGGGCTGCTGGGGGCTGCTGGGGGCTCAGGATCCCCAGACAGCTAAGCCCCTTGGCGCCCCCAACGGGGGGGGGGGGGCTGCGGGGTGTCTAGGATCCCTCGCAGCCCCATCACTCAATGGGCAAGGAGCATAAAAGGGGACCTCTCCAGCCAATCTGGGACCAGTGGAAGACCGAAGCCGAAGACCAGCTAGATAGGACTCTGGACCCCCTCGACCCGCTGTCCTTGTCAGGGCCGGGATGCTGTGCGGGCCAGTGGTGGGACTCTGGGACTCTCGGCCCCGCGCCCTTGTAAGGGCAAGGTTGCTGTGCGGGCCAGTGGTGGGGCTCTGGGCCAGTGGTGGGACTCTGGGCCAGTGGTGGGACTCTGGGACTCCCGGCCCCGCGCCCTTGTGAGGGCGAGGTCCGAGGAAGCCAGAGCTCATGACCATTAAGGACCTTCATGATGGTGAGCGAGCCCGGGTAAAACTACGTGGCTGGGAGTCAGAGCCATTCCCTGTACACCTTGGGGTGCGACAGGGATGTCCTCTGGCTCCCACATTATTTAACATCTATTTTGACTACGTAGTTTGTGAAGCCTTCAATAGCTGTACCGGGGGAATCTCCATTTGGTACAGATATAATGGGAGGCTGATCGATGCCCAGGTGCGGTCAAGGGATGGCTCCCTATTGCTGAATCACGTTATGTATGCCGATGATTTGGTAATAGCTGCTCATTCAGAGGAGGAGTTGGAGATGCTGGCGTGCCACTAAGAGATGGGGCCTTACCATCAGCCCCACCAAAACTAAGCACCTGCCTGGGTATTTTGTACCATCGGACACTCCACCCCCACAACTCCCAATCGGTGATGGGGCGGTTGTGGAGAGAGTGGAGAGTTTCCCATACCAGGGCAGTGTGCTTATGACCGGCTCCAGATTAATAGCAGAGGTCTCACTCCGAATCAGTCGAGCGACAATATCTTTTCATTGGTTGCGTAACGCTGTGTGGAAGCTACCTGGTCTGTCGCTCCGCACTAAGCTTCAGGTCTTCTCGGCCACGGTCATTCCCTACTCTATGCTTGCGAAACGTGGACCCCCTTAATGGAACATCTTCGCCGGTTAGAAACATTAAGGCTAGCCTGCCTACGATCCATCCTGGGTTTAACCAGGCTGGATTGTGTGAGGAGCTCACAAATCCTTGAAAGATCTGGGCAAGGTCCCATCGGTGAGCTCCTCCGGCAGGCAAGGCTGCGTTGGCTGGGTCATGTAGCCCGCATGCCCAGCCACCGCATGCTCAAACAGCTTTTGTTCGGCCGGATCGAGGGGGGTAAACGGGCGCGGCACGGGCTAGATAAGAGATGGAGTGATGTGGTACAGGAGGACGTGGACCTGAGTGGACTTGCCGATGACTGGTACCAGCGGTGTCAAGATCGGCCTCTGTGGAGGAGGCTCGTGAAGGACGCTACTGGGCAGTTGGAGGCAGTCGCCCTCCAAAAACAACGGAGGGCGGAGGAGCGACGCTCACAACAATGAGCGGAGCGCCGGGTGGCTCAAGCACAGCAGGTTGGCATAGTAGGGGGCACAGGTGGTGCATCAGCCAGTCATCTCAGTCAGTCGACCCGTGGCACCTGGGTCTGCCCCGTGACCTCCTGCCAGCGGGCGCTCGACACTTCACGTGGCCTCAAGGTACACATGGCCTGGCACAAGCATTGTGGTGACGTCAACGCCACTTAATCGCGATTGGCGGTTGTTGTTGTGTGTGAGTCCATTTGTGTGTGTGTGGGTCGAAGTGCTTGTGTGTGTGGGTCGATGTCTGTGTGTGTGTAAGTCGATGTTTGTGTGACTTTTTCGCCCAGGCAATGCCGGGTACTTCCCGCTAGTAATAACTATAAGGGGAAGCGATGGTACAGTGGTTAGCTCACTACACTATTAACCCGACGACCTAGGTTCAATTCCAGACCAAAGCTTACCTCATTATTGAGTGACATCTGAAAGAGTCCTGAGCATCCCCCCCCTCCCTACTTTTACATATCCCTACTGACCAGTGTGGTGAAGTACCATCCATATTCCTCATGACCAACAGCTTGAGGAGGCCTTCATCCAGCCTTGCTTTTGACAAATGTGACGTGCCAGCGGCATGAACGAACAACAGGGCGTTTGCCACTTGTTGCAGAGTTTTGCAGTTCAAACCAAGCGGCCACCCTGGTTAGTACCATGGATTAACAAAATAAATTTGCACGTAAATACTGCCGTCTGCTCTTAAAAACCCGGTGGTGCTATTAAAAAAGTGCACCAATGTGTGCTAGCATCGCGATTAAAATTCAGAAAATGTTTAAAGTTACTTGCAAAATTATTAGCAAATTTATTCAGTTGGATTCAACCACATTGCAACATCGCACCCACTGGCAGACTACACCCATCTGCGGAACATAAGCCCTTCATGATAACCTTGCGCTGTAAGACTGGTGTGTTTGTTATGAATAATTAAAGGGCTGGAAACTATAGTTTCATTAACTATACAAATGTCCAATGCATATAGTGCTCTTTACCAATGTGTGCTGACATGTGCGTGCCGACCCGGTCGACGACTGTGACTTTAATTGGGTCTGCCCTTCTCCCTCCTCTCTCTATGGCAGTGACCTGGAAGGAAACCAGATCCAGTCGGTGAGAAATTCTACATTTCTGGGCTGTGATCAACTGACTGTATTGTGAGTTCCACTAACTCCCACAGACACACACCAATTCCCAGATTTAGCGCATACACACTGTTGGGGCAAGTGATGTTTAGTGAGTGAGCACCAGAATATGATGGGGTGGTGTGGCCTACACCATACTCAGCCGTCTCTGTCATCCCAGTGTTAACGTTTAGGTACCATGCCAGGTTATTTAGTAATAATAATTTATTTATCGAGAAAAGCTTCACTGTCTCAAGACTTTTGCCGGAGACACTAGCATTGCATTGTTTGGCCGTTTTCTTTTTAAAGACATAAAACCATGGAAAGCCCACATGTACAAGCAGATGAGACTCAAGCTTCCAAACAGATGAGGTCACAATCCCTCTTGCGGCACTGGCAGCTGCTAGTCACCTTGCAGCCAAGCGGGTTTGGAGGTTTCACTCACCTCTGTGATCCACAAAGACCTTGCCTTCAAAGTGCTGGTTTTATTGGCATGTGCCACAATGCCAACCTGTTAGTCCTTTTAAACTAACTTCAAATATTTTTTATTTTGAAAAAACGATTTTAATTTTACCAGGTAAGGCCCACTGAGCTATATAGCTCTCTTTCAGAAGCGACCTATCCACAAATGATAGCTCAACGAAGTGGCTTATCATGTGGACATTTATAGCAGCCAAATACTCTAAAAATCAGAGGACCCAGAGAAAAATCCACGCGACCACGAGGAGAACATGCACATTCCAAGTATACAGGCGTCAGGGTCGGGTTCGAACACCACGACCTCCTGCATACCAAGCAAGGTAGTTAACATCTCGCCACCGTGGCACCCCTAAAACTGAGTTGACCTTAGAGAGAACTAGAACAGGTTCCATCCAGTTACACATGCAACTGACAGTGTGCATGGCCATGCCATTAAATTAGATCTTAAATTAACTTTATCTGTAAATGCAATCTGCTGTTTATGCTGTTGCCGTGAGTCAGTGTGGGTACTACAATAAGTTACTAACAGCAAAGTCCACATGCACCGCACAGAAAATTTAATAATATTAATATTTTCTCAACCTTAAAACTCAATGTATTGAAGTCATATCTAATACTAGATTTTGTGTCATGGAACAATTGTAATGTTGGTGGCTGCACGCTTGCATTTCAAAAATACGTAATGGGTGACTAGAACGCTGTTTCCATGCTTCAGGGATGGGCTTATGTAACCTCTTCAGCAATTGGGTTTTTATGGTTAATGCAGTTCATTTTCAACTGCCGGCGGATCAACAGCTAAAAAAAAGGTTCGGTAAATGAGGCAAACAGCATTCTGTGCTGTTTGTCTCATTGTTGTCCACAACATAACCTAGTGTCTGAGCACATATCAGTCTAGTGTTCGAGTACATGAGTGGATACTCTGCACCTCCGATTAGCACGGTTGGCTACGTACGGTTCCAAAGAAGTTCAACATACATACATGTGTAGTGAGTCCAACTGAGTCGCAGATGTTGTCTTGGGAGCAAGACTATTTATTTCAGTAACTCAACATAACATAACACAACCTACACATGGGTGTTGAATGCCCATCTAGTCACTCTACGGCAGAACTAGACACGGTTCGCTATCCCAGCCCGGACCACAAGCTGGGTCCCGGACCGCGTGGCTAAAGGCTTCTTTTACCCGACGTGGATCTTCATCACCAGCAACACGAAGAACCCCGAGCCCCTCACGGGGCCCCCGTTATATCGGCCTGGGCTGGGGCTGGCTCCGCCCCTTGCCCCGCCCACCTTTTAGATCTCTCGAGCTCTTTCCCGAAGGCTCCCCGAGAGCTCCTTTATATCACGTGACCACCCAATGTCCCCCGTCCACCGGTGGCCCCCCTCCAATATCATCCGGTCACGTGTCGGCAGGTCAACCAGCGTATCATGCCTCACCGGGAGTCCCTGACATACTTAGAGAGCTCTTTGGTCTTGGCCATGGTGGAGAGTTTGGAATCTGATTGATTGCTTCTGTTGACAGGTGCCTTTTATACAGGTAACAAGCTGAGATTGGGAGCACTCCCTTTAAGAGTTTGCCCCTAATCTCACCTCGTTACCTGTATAAAAGACACCTGGGAGCCAGAAATCTTTCTGATTGAGAGGGGGTCAAATACTTATTTCCCTAATTAAAATTGAAATAAATTTATAACATTTTTGACATGCATTTATTTTTTATTTTGTTGTTGTTATTCTGTCTCTCACTGTTCAAATAAACCTACCATTAAAATTATAGACTGATCATTTCTTTGTCAGTGGGCAAACGTACAAAATCAGCAGGGGCTCAAATACTTTTTTTCCCTCACTGTTAAATATTTCATTTTTAACTTTTTTGTTGATCAAAGTTATATTTACTGGGTTTATAGCAGTTGAATTAAATAATAGAGAAATAGACAAAAAGTATTTTCTTTTAAATACCAAATGCAATACAATTGTCATTCAGTTAAGGTTATGGGGTCTTCAGGATCATGCTTTCCTCTGCAGCATTTGATTCGGCAGGAAACTGTGGACCAGCTCTAATTTCATAACACTTTTTAACAGCTTTTGCTTACTTATATCTGTATAAATCTATCCAGGTGGTGCTGTGGCAGAATGGTTGACAGTCAGCTGGTTGCAAGTTAGAATTTCAGTTCCAAGGATCATCTTAGCCATTCGTTGTTCCAGGTTAAATTTAACGAGTAACATTAGGCAGGTAGTGCTTGTACGGTGGAAAATATTGCCGTGCAAAGGGGAATTTTCACCACTTGCAAAGGAGATGAGCATTGCCTCGTGCTCATTTCAGCTAGGAGATTCTTTGGCTTTTGATTTTAGAGAATGAAATGTATTGCTTCTGGGAATTTGCTTCTTTATCTGTTCCTGGATATACAGCTTAAAACAATGTCTCAAGTACTATCTGCATGCAGCACACAGTCCCTTGGGATATCATCCTGCCACACTCTGCGGCAGTAGTTACAAGTGCGTGAATCAGAAGCCTTATCTGGCTCCAATAACGAAAAAAACTCAATACGTTTGTTATCCCGCTCTGTGCATTTTCAGCGCATCTCTCTTGGGTGTATGCAACCTTCCATAATCAGAAAAGGATACAGGGGGCATACGACATGTTCACATTGCTATAATACATTCGCTGTAGACGCTGGGCTGAAAGTTGCAAAATTAGCTTGACGTCGATGCGTCTTGAGACCAGCAAAGGTATTGTTTTCTGGGCGCGTGCTTCAGCAGTGCATGCTACTTATGTGAATGCCTCGGTCAGCTATAGGTAGCCAAAATGGGATTCAAATTCATTCCACACATTTCACCTCTGGGTCTCGCAACGTTTCCTCCGGTGCTGTTGCGGTAATAAAGGAAGCAGGCAAAACTTGCTGACGTGAAAAAAAAATAACTTAAAAGTTACTCATATTCTTAGTTTTTTCGGTAAAGTCACGTTGAAGAGAAACAACAAAATAATAAAATATATATAAAACAATAAAAAAATTCTCACGACGTTTCGACCATAACTCAAACGGTCGTCTTCAGGTGTGTTGGTTCGCATAAATGTATTTTTAAAAATAAATTTATGCGAACCAACACACCTGAAGACGACCGAAACGTCGTGAGAATTTTTATTGTTTTATATATATTTTATTATTTTGTTGTTTCTCTTCAACGTGACTTTACCGAAAAAACTAAGAATATTAAAAGTTACTCTCAACTCCTAGATACAAATTGTCTCGCCATATTTAATCAAGCAGGTCAGAAATTATATAACTTTATAGTCGCAGTGAAGTAATTGGTTATTACTGTGCTCCCTCAATTAAAATAAAAATAAACTTTGACGAAATGAATAAATTTGGTAAACACGGGGGGGGGGGGGGGGGGGGGTGATGGGGGTGTGGGAGGGTCACCCATCCTGACAAGAGCCCCGGTGTGTAAGATACCAAATACTGCCGTTGTTGCTGATGAATGATCGTTTAAGGGTGCTTTCTAAATTTAAATTACTATTATTAACAAAAACATATCTCTGAGTGTAGGTTTCATGAGGAGGATGTTTTTAATGTCACTGAAAAATAGGGCAAATAAACTTGGAAGTTGTCTTCATGAGCATGTGCCAGCAAAGCTTAGCAGCGTAATGAGGAAGAGGACGTGGTTACGTGCGGAACATGCGCAGGACAGCAGAGGAGCAGGTCACTAAGACAGGCATTGGAGGTGGCACCCAGAGTTTTTGGCGATCAGGGAAAGACTCGAATCCAGATTACAGGATTCATGACACTCACTGTAGGTCAGATGTGAACTGTGCATGCGGGAGCGGTAGTGTAGCGGTTAGCGCGCTGTGTTTCAAACCCGGTGGCCCGAGTTCAATTCTCGCTCACGGCCAACACCAGTGACGATTACTTGAACCGGTCCTGGGCCTCCCCTAGGTCGACTCAGCCTCAATTGAGTATCTGGTGCGGTGTGTAAACATCGCCACCAGGCGTGATGTTGGCCACCCACCCCCTCGTGTGCCATACCGGCCTTCATGGTTGTTGCTACTCGCTAACAGGACTTGCCCCAACAGGCTGTTAAGGCTATATGGGGGATCTTTGTCTTTTTTCTGTATGTACGCAAGCTATCCATCCCTCCATAATTTAGTATACGGTATTTTGATGAATGTGGTGTCAATAGAAGCAGAATAAATTCTAAAGAGGGGTGACGTTGGTTGGTTGATCTGACCCTTAACTGAATACATATATATGACAATCCATGCAATTACCCAGTTTCAAGATATGCCTCATTACTCATTGCACGCACTATGGTTCGTGTGCTTTTAAAGAAACATTCTTCATTCACTCCTCCGTTTCCATCACCCTAACTTGGGATCTGAAGAAGTGGGTGCTTTAAGTTAACATCTCCTTTTAGTGAGCCTCTACTAAGGCCGGCATGGCATAGCAGTCTGTGAATACACAAGGTTAGTGGTGTGGCCTACACCATTCCTGGCCACGTCGCCGTAGCTCTGATATTCACAGATACTAATTTCAGGCTGAGTTGACCTAGTGGAGGCGC